AATTCTTTCTTTTTTTTCTGCATGTAAAAATGACATGGCAATGTCAGACCTTGTCTAACTTCAGGAGGGAGAAGGAGAACCACCATCAACATCAGCCCAAAGCTGATTACTATGAGGTGGAGGTCAGACATACCTCCACTTTTCAAACTTTTTACCAATTCTAACACCAGCTGTTCCTCCCACGGCATTCTCAACTTCTCTGCTGGGTTCAGTAATTCATTGCAATGGCCACACAAAACTCACAGACCATACTCACGATTATGGGATTTATTAGGGAAGTAACAGGTTACAACTCAGGATAAGGATCAATTTGGAAATAACAGGAACTACTCGGGATATAGTTCTTCGATCAGAACAACTCTCAGCTCTCTCACTCCATGGGCTGGGAAGCCCACTGTAGCCACTTCACTCCATGGGCCAGGAAGCCCACCAAGCCATTGTGTGCCAGTCTCCTGGTTCCTGCCATCTTGCGCTGCTGCTGCCTACAGTATTACTGCTCTCTCTCTCTCCTGGGTCTAGGAGATTCTCAGTGCAGGGAACATGGGTCCAAAGAGGTCCGCTCCTGGCTCGTCTTGACGGTAGAGAGGTGTCCCCCTCTCAGTCTCTAGGATTGTCTCCCTTTAAGCCTAGTGGGATGGCAAAACCGACCAATCCCCTACAACGGTTCCATGCACTTTATTTGCATAGTCCCACCCCCCACAAGGGTTCCATGCACCTGGCAAAACTGTTCAATCCTCTCAGTGGGCCACAAGCACCTTATTTGCATAGTCCCATCCAATCATTTTGTGGAGGTTACAAGACCGATGGCTAGAAGGGCCGTGTAGTAGTAATTCAGTGCACCACACTGTGTGTTTATTTTAGGGAGTTCCTACTGCCATGTTTCCAAGTTCACTCATCTTTTCTTCTGCAACGTTGAATCTGCTATTAATCTCATCTAGTCTATTTTTCTTCTTAGACACTGTAGTTGGCAACTCTAGAAGTCTAATTTGTATCTTTTTAATATATGTCATATCTCTACTTAAATTTTGAGCAAATAGAGTATAGTTATAATAACTGAATATCCTCGTGTGCTAATTCTAATATCTGTCACTTCTAAGTTGGATTAAATTGATTATTATTTTCATTATGGATCACATTTTCCTGCCTCTGTGCCTGCCTGGTAGGGGGCAGCTGTGGTGCAGTGGTAGAATTCTCGCCTTCATGTAGGAGACCCAGGTTCGATTCGTGGCCAATGTACCTCACGCACAGCCACACCTGCCTGTCAGTGGAGGCTGTGTGCTGTTATGATGCTGAGCAGGTTTAAGGAAAGCTTCAGACGAAGATGGACTAGGAAGAAAGGCCTGACAATCCACTTCTGAAAATCAGCCAAAGAAAACCATATGAATCACAACAGTCCAGTCCCCCACTGATCACAGGGATAGTGCAGGACAAGGCAGCCTTTTGTTCCATTGTGCACGAGGTTGCCACGAGCTGAGGGGGCAGGGGTGACTCAGTGACAGCTAACAATGATAACAGGCATGCCTGGTCATCTTTGATTGGATACCATACCTTGTGAATTTTACCATGTTGGGTGCTGGATTTTTTCTATTTCCCTAAGTGTTATGGAGCTTGTTCTGTGATGCAGTTATGTTACTTGGAGACAGTGTGAGCCTCTCTTGCTTTTATGATTTGTTAGGCAGTACTGGAGCAGTGCTCAGTCTAGGATTGATTAATCCCAACCTCTTAGGCAAGACCTTCATAGTTCTCTACCCAATGCCCCAGGAATTCTGTGTTTTTCTGGTCTGGCTGGTGGAAAGAGGCACTGTTCTTGGCCCTATCCAATCTCTTGACACTGTTCCCTCTATTCCTTTGTGAGGTACTTTCCCTGGTCTCAGGAAGTTGCTTTATGAGCATGCAATGCTCAGTACTCTGCTGAGTATGTAAGGCGGTACTCTCTGCAGATCTGAGTTCTCTCTCTGCCCAGCTGTCTTCTCTCCGGTACTCTGTCCTGCAAACTCTAGCTTCCTTGGTATCCCCAGAAGCTTCGCTCCATCTCCGCAACTCACAGAGTATGCTAGCTCCACCTCGGTTCCCCCTCTTTGTCCTACACCTGGAAACTATTTCAAAGCATTAAGCTGGGACAATCATAAAGCTTATCTCGTTTGTTTCCCATCTCTCTGGGATCACTGTTCTTCATTGTCAGATGTCCAATTTCTTGAAAACCATTGTGTTATAGATTCTACCTGGGGTTTTTTGGTTGTCTCATGAAGGACAGTAAACAGTCCCTATTACTCCATCTTGCTCAGAAGCAGAAGTCCTCCTCTCCTTGGCAGTGGCCTCCAAGTCACGTGTTCCTCTGTCTGCCTGTTTTCCTTCAGCCTCTCCGGCCACTCTTACATGGTGGGTCTCCTGACTTGGGTTTGTGCCAGGATCTCTTCAGCGCATCACACCCACCCCCATGGGTTCCATTTCCATCTCTATGTTGACCTCTACCTTCAGACTAGAACCCTAAGCTCCAGACCCCTGTCTCCAACTGCCCACCCTTCAGTACTCTTTGGATGTTCCACAGATGCATTAAATGCAAACCATCCAAAACTGAACTTACCATCCTCTCCCCTACCTGCTGCCTCTCCAGAATGTCTCTGTTAATGACACTTCCATCTACCAGGCCAGAGATCTAGGAGTTGGCCTTGTACCTCCTTCTTCCTCATTCCCATGTTCTGTCATCATTGAGGGCTGTCCATTCTACCTCCTGAACGCCTCTGTACCCTGACCACCTTTCACCATGTCCACCACACACCAAGCCACCATCGCTCTCCCCTACACCAGTCTTACCCACACACCCTTCCTTGGGGAAGAGGCCAGAGAAAATGTTCTCAAATCTAAGTCTGACCATCACACTCCCACTGAAGACCTTCCAATGGCCTCCTGTGTGCTTAGGTAAGTCCCAATCTCTTTCCTGGGGCAGGTAAAGCCCTTGGTGATCTGGTCCTTGCTTAATTCTTGGGCCTCATGCCCCAGCGCCTGTCACCCTGAACTATCTTCCCTCAGAACCCCAGGAGCCAGGGGCCTAGAAAGCTGGGTTGTAACTGCCTGTTTAATTTAACCACCTCTCCACTGGAATGCCAGCTCTCTGCCGGTGGAGATTAGGCCTTGTTTCTTCCCACTATCCCGCCCTTCACCCAACATGGTGCATTATGAAGACTGGGCTGCTGAGAGTGGGTAGCAAGGCTGAACCCGAATCAAGAATCCTGGCTCCATTACTCGCTGCCTGTGTCATCTTGAGCAAAACACTTCAGGCCTCAGGTTCTCCATGTGTAAAAAGGGCGCAATCATCCCTCCTCTCCTCAATGATATGTCAGAATCAGAAAACAGAAGATGCGCCTTTGTCAAGCAGCGCGCTATTCTAACTTGGGCTCCTCCACCGCTGTAAGCCCAACAATCAGAACGGTGCCTGGACCAGAGGCAGGGCCCAGACTACGTTGAGGCCAGCGAGGCGCCAGAGGCGCAACGTTTAAGGAGGACTCAACGCTCGGGGTCGTGCAAGCGCAAGGTCGCAGCCTCACCCGGCCCAGCCCGGAGGCGTGAAAAAACCGCCGGGAGACGAGCCACCCTCCCAGGCTGGGCCGCGACACTCCGCGCGCAGGGATGTGATGTCAGAGACAGAGGCGCCCTTCTACTGGCCGTTGTCCTGTGACGTCACTAGGCGCGCCCGCTTATGAGGCCGTCTTACTGGCTTTCGGGCCGCGCAGGCTGGAAGAGCGCTGTGGCGGCCCTGGGGTTTGGTTCCGCTGGAGGTGGGGTTCGTGTCCCGGCTGCGGTCATCGGGATCGCGTGGGCAGTGCCAAGTGCCCGCTCGCCTTCGGCCCTCGCCCCGCAGGCCCCGCCGGCCTGCTCCAGCCCTAGCCCGACAGCGCAGGGCGCCCGCAGAACCGACGGCTGCTGCCAGGTAGGTCCAGCCCGGGCCAGGCCGGTAGAGGGTCCACGCGCGGGGCCTCTGGCCGAGGGCAGGACTGGACCGAGTCCTCGGCCGCTTCCGACCACACGGACCTGGCGGGGCGGGCCCTTGTGCGCGCCCACCGAGTGCAGGGACAGAGCTGGGCACACAGGGAAACTGAGGGCCCCAGGCTACCGTATGGGGGCGGGGGGGGGGTCTCCCGTATAAACCCATCGCTGTCAGGCTGCCAGGCTTGTGCTGTTTGTGCCTCTTTGCTTAAGGACTTTTGCAGAGTTGGGTTGAACCCGGGCTATGTTGCAAAGCGATTACTCTGGAGGCACCACGGCCACTTTTTGACTGGTACCTTGGCAGGTGACTTCACCGTTTTAGTCCTCAGTGTCCCCTTCTGTAAAATGGGGGGTGAGGAGAGAGAAGGTGGAATGAGAACCTGCATGTGCCTGTCACATGGGGCCTGGGGTTTATCTCGGAGAGCAGGTGACCAGCCTCATCCTGAGGCAGCAGCCAGCAGGCGGCTACAGTTTCCTGAGCGTGGCTGACGGGCACAGGCAGGGTGTCCCGTGGGCCTCTGGAGGATCTCCAGCTGGAGGTCCCTACTTATCACCCCAGCCTTCTGAGCTAAAATGCCCGAGGGAGGGCACAGGATGGGGTGGGCTGAAGCTGGATGTTCTTGTTTGCACAACACCTGGTTTCCGAACCGAGGACTTCAGTGTCACCTGGACTTGGGCTGAGGTTGACATCACCGGTCTTCCCCAAGTATGACAGTTCAAGCGCCTGCTTCTGCCGTTTGTTCACCTGTTGATTGCGCAGAGTGTTCCCCAGGCACAGTGCTGGCCCTGCAGGCTGAGCAGTGACTGAGGCAGACATGGGCCCTGAACTCAGGGAGGAGACAGCCCAGGAACGCCTGTCAGGCCTGGGCCCTGCCGTTTATGTCTGCAGCCTCTCGCCTCAGGCAGCCTGGGCTGTTGTCTGGTGAGATGGGTGAGGGGCTGCTCCTGAAAGGCCTGGACGTCAGGAGGGGTTCTGGCTTTGTCACGTGAGCACCGGGAAGCATTTTAGACAGGCAGGGGTAGCAGGATGAAGTTTGCATTTAAAAAATTGCTTGTGGCAGCTGCTGTGAGGCCAGTTTCCCCAGGGGTCCCTTGCCTATGCTGAGGCCCTGCTCTTGAATTCACATTGTGTTCAGTGGCCGGGTCTGGGCTTAGCTAACTCCTCGTCCTGCTCATGTGAGCCCAGCTCTGCTCAGCATCACTTTCTCAAGGAACTAGACAAAGTCAGGGTCCCTGATCTTCACAGCCACAGTCATACGGTGAACCTCACTTACGTCATCAGTCATTAACATCTGTCTGTCCTCTGAGCGGGATGGCAGCTCGGAGTTTGTCTGACCTCCGTTGTTTCCCCAACGCCTAGAGTGGTGCCAAGCACATTGTAAGATTTCAGGAAATACTGGCTGAAGGAATTGCTGGAATCTCTGGGACCTCGCTCAGTGCCTGGTATGAAATAGTTGCTCCTCTATAAATGTTTCATTACATACATCGAACTGAGCAAAAATCAATTTATAAAGTGTAAAAAAAAAAAAAAAAAGTTGCTGTCAAGTCGATTCTGACTCGTAGCAACACAGTAGAACTGCCCTATAGGGTTTGCAAGAAGCGGCTGGTGAATTCAAGCTGCCCACCGTTTGGTTAGCAGCTGAGCTCTTAACCGTTGCGCCACCAAGGCTCCTATAAAGTGTAGCAAGTGCAATAACTTGTAAATCTAGGCCACTTCCCATGTGGTGTGCCAGGATGGGTGGTGGGGTGACGGACCTGGGCTGCAGCTTGAGAAACTTCGGGGATCCTCATCATGGTTCTGGGCTCCCTCTCTCCCCAGGACCTGCTTTTTCTCTGCAGGCGCTGATGCTGGGCTTTGGTGCAAGAAGGCTGCTCACAGCACTTCTGCAGCCTCAGCCTCAGAGGTGGCCCTTGCAGCCCTCCAGAGACATGAGACTGGTACAGTTCCAGGCACCCCACCTGGCAGGACCTCGCCTGGGCCTGGAGTCAGGGAATGACCGGGGAGTCATCGACCTCAACGCCTTTGACTCCACACTCCCCAAGACGATGATAGAGTTCCTGGAGCAGGGAGAGGCCACCCTCTCAGTAGCGAGAAGGTAAATGAGCTGCCCTGGTCCCCCTCGCCCTCCTCCCACCCCACCCTTGGCCTGTGAAACAGAAGAAGCAGGTGGTTCTGCAGGAGAGCAGGGTGGCCCACCTTTCCCTTCTTACCTGTTCTGTTAGTGACAAGCCTTAGAAATCTCACGGGACAATGTCCTTAGCTTACAGAGGGGAACACTGAGGCCCAGGGAAGGTGAATAATGATGCCAAGGCCACACATTGGGTGATGGAGCCAGGACTCTGCTTCATCGCCCTGCCTTCCCCCAGAATGGAGCCCCCACCTGCCTGAGGCGGATGGGGCCTGGGGCCCCAGGAGGCATCTTGGGGAGCAGGGGAGTTACTGGCTTCTTGGAGAGAGAGGACTGCAGAGGTTTTCTCTAACATGGTTGGTTGGTAGGTTTGGGCTAGGTGAGGTGGGGGCTTCCCTGAAGCAGGAAGGAGCCCTGTGGACTCTGGTCTAAAGGGTTGATGAAGAGTACATTGAAACCACGCTGAGAGGTCATTTTCACCTGTTAAATTGGCAAAGATACGAATGTTTGACAGCACACAGCATCGGTACCCGTGGGGAAAAGCGTATTCTCACACACGGATGGTGGGAGGGTTTAAAGTGGTTAGCCTTCCTGGAGGGCTGTTTGGAAATAAAAAATTACAACCGCCCGTCACGTTGACCCCACTACTCTACCTGACAGAGGTGTGTCTGCAGTTACGTCCCTACAGCAGATGCTCTGCGTCCCAGGTTTTCGCAGCGGCTTTGTCTCTTAACAGCACAAGATCAGAAACCGGGTGTGTAGCTGCAGGGCAGTAACGTGCAGCCCTGGGAGAAAAGAGGGCACTCTCTGTCTACCGTTACAGAGACGTTCCTGAAGTTCACTGCTGAGTGTACACAGGGCACTACTGTCTGCACGTGGAGTGGCTGTGAGGGCTGCACAGGAAGCAGTGTCTCCAGGGAGCGAAGCGGGGTCACTGGAAGGGTGGGAGGGAGGCCTTTCCATCTGCACCTTTCGTACCTTTACACTTCTCTTACATGGGCAGTTATTACCCAGTGGGAGAAAAGGAAATTGGCATCGGTAAATAGCAAACAGTGTTCTGATTCCACGGGAGAAAGATGTGGCAGTCGCTTCTGTAAAGATCACAGCCTTGGAAACCCCATGGGGTAGCTCTGCTCTGTCCTGTAGGGTCACTATGAGTCAGAACCATGGGGTAGTTCTGCTCTGTCCTGTAGGGTCACTGAGTCGGAATCGACCTGACGGCAGCGAGTGTATGTGTGCTCTGATTCCCGAGGCCAGTAGCTGGGCTTGATGTTCACACTGACTCTGAGGGTCGGCAGATCTAGAAGAAAATACTATTTTAAAAAGTAAAACTTGTAGTTGCTGCAGGGTTTCCCCAGCACGCCCCCAGATTGCTGACCTGCTCCCGGCCGGCCCTTCTCCCGCTCTGGTCTCTGCAGAGCCCTGACTGCCTCATTGCCGACCCTGCTGCGGTCGGAGGTGACCTTCCTGCCCCCGGTCACGCGGCCAGACAAGGTGGTGTGCGTGGGCATGAACTACGTGGACCACTGCAAAGAGCAGAACGTGCCCGTGCCCAAGGAGCCCATCATCTTCAGCAAGTTTGCCAGCAGCATCGTGGGGCCCTATGACGAGGTCGTCCTCCCACCCGAGAGCCAGGTCAGTGCCTCCCCACTGCCCCGTGATCACTGGCGCCCACCACAAGGGTGACAGCTCAGCATCTAGCCTCCAGATGTTCTTCCAGAAGCCACCTGCTGCTCGATGGTGCACCAAACAAACTGCAGGGGATTATACAGTAATCAGACGGGCCTTGGAAAAAAGAAATTGGTATATCTTTTCCTGATTACAAAAGTAATATACCTTCGTTGTAGAAAATTAATAAAAAAAGTCACCCATATTCCCACAACCCCGGGCTCTTAATGTTTTGCCGCGTATCCTCCCAGTGTTTGTTCCTGTGCATATCTGTACTGTGCACGTACCTACCTTCTTACTCAAGACTCCGTCAGCAGCCTTTCTCCCGTCGCTCGGGCCTCTCCCCGGACGTGTTCTGGGTTGCCGCGTGGCGTGTTGTAGTGACGGGTGGTCCCTGTTGGCGGACACTGGAGTTATTTCTGGTTTTTGACTTCTGTAAGTAACGTTGCAGTGAACATCCTTATAGAAAAGACCTCTGCACGTCTGTGAGTACACGATCATTTCCTCTGAGTAAACTCTTAGAATTCGGACGTCAGGGTCAAAGTATAGGCAGCGTTTAAAAAATTTTTAAGAAATTCTGCCAAATTGACCTTCAGAAAAGTTGTGAAAGCAATTTACACATCCACCAGCAGCGTATGTACCCTTGCTAACAACGGGTTAGTTTTTCCCTCAAATTTTTATTTTAGGAATATTTTGGAAATTAGTGGCCTGCAGGAAAAAAAAAAGTACAGTGAACATTTACATACTTTGACCTGGGTTTACTATTAACATTTTGTCACATTTGCTTTTTCTCTCTGCAAACACTTTATTTGATTTGATGAGGGAGAACATTCGAAAGTAGGTTGCAGACATTAAGATAATTCACTATAAGAACTTCACACATGTCCTACAGATAAGGACAGTGTCCTACCTGACCATAACACCGTTATCACAACTTAGAAAATTAACACGAATGGTATCTGGTTCTTTTTAGAGGGGCGTGGGTTAGAGACCAAGATCTGGGTGCTCGGTATGTTCGTACCAGCCCTGACTGTTGGGTTAGAAATCGTGGTCAGTTTGAAAGGCTGAATTCTGTCCATACTGTGGTAGGGCTGCTTTGCTTACGGGAGAGGCTGAGCGTGTTCTCCTGTTTTGTGGCGTGTGGTGTTCTTCTTTTTTGAATTGCATATTCAGGCCCTTTGCGCATATTTACCTGGATATTGATCTTTTTCATATTAGCATTTAAGTGAGTTAATACATTAAAGCGCTTAGGATAGTACCTGGCACGTTGGAGGGTTAGATTGTTAGCTATTCTTATTTGGAAATGCACTTTACATATAAAGGATATTCATCCTTTGTTGCAAGCATTGAGACTGACTTTTAAACTCAGTCCCCAGACACACGTTGCTCTCCTACTCACAGTGGGGGGGTGCGCCCCGAGTTGGCAATGTCACCTGTATTGCCCCAAGCTACGGTCTACAAGCCGCACCTCCCGTTACCCGGCCCGCTCTGGTTGGTGGTGACTGTGAGGTGGGCTGGCCGCTGCTCCCCACTGCTGGTGTCGCCTGTCAGATGGGAATATGGGCCCAGAGCCGCAGCGGCTGGTGCTTGTCTCCCTCCCCACCCTGCAGGAGGTGGACTGGGAGGTGGAGCTGGCCGTGATCATTGGAAAGAAAGGCAAGCACATCAAGGTGAGGCGGAAGGGTGGGCTCCAGGTGAGGGTGGAGCAGAGGCCCTGCTTGTGCCCCTATTAGTGCTGGCCTTGCTCATCAGCAGTGGTGACAGCCGTTGTGGCCTGGAGAGGGGCCAGCAGCCACCTGCTCCCTGGTATGCCTTGCCCCTCCCTGACCACATCTGGCTAGCTTTGGCTATCAGTGGTGGGCTAAAGGCTTGGAGAGCCTCTGTCACGGGCTTTGCCATCACCTTGATCTAACCTCCAGTATAGCCAAACGCCCTCCCCGACAGGCCACAGATGCCATGGCTCATGTGGCCGGCTTCACCGTGGCCCACGACGTCAGCGCTCGGGACTGGCAGATGAGACGCAACGGAAAGCAGTGGCTGCTGGGAAAAACCTTTGACACCTTCTGCCCCCTGGGCCCTGCCCTGGTGACCAAGGACAGCGTACCAGGTAGGTCTCTAGACGCCACTTGGTGATTCTTTTTCCCGGTCTTTGCACCCTCTGTCCGTGCACGGATGCTTCAGTGTAAGGGTCTACCTGGGAGGCGGGAGTGCTGAGTGCAGTTAGAGCAGAGCCCGTCCTCACTCGCTGCCATTCTGTTGCCAATTCCTAGAGCGCAGGTCTCCCAGCCCCAGCCACAAGCTCTCCGGCAGGCCTGCTTCCCACTCCCCCACTGACGGAGCACAGCCAGAGGCTGTGATGCTGCAGTTCCAATACCAACCCTGGCGTTCAGGAAGTGAATTAGAGCGGTGCCCACTGATCGGTGGGTCAGTGCAGTTCCAA